CAGGCTTGCCCCTCCCCTCCCCTCCCTTCCCTTCCCGCTGACCTCTCACGACTTCCAGGGCGAGGGCCACCAGGAGGCAGAGCCAGGCACCGTAGGGCCCCCGAGGGGCCGCAGCCGCGCATCCAGCCATCGAGGCGCACATCCTTCCCACAGAAAGCGGGTTCCAGGCGCGCAGCTCAGGTGGCTGCTATCCAGCCCGCATCTCCCGCGCCTGCTCCGCGCCGGCCCCTCTGGCCAGCCAGTTCCCTGCGCTGCCCGCCCGCGGCAGCAGTTCCCAGACAATGGAGCGGGAGCAGTAGGGTGGGAGGGAACGCAGGCACATGGGCTGTCCCCTCAGTCCTGCCGGGTCCTAGTGCCCTTCGGATCCCAAACCCAGAGCGCCCCCGCGCCTAAAGTCGAGAAGAAGTCTCCCCTGGAGACTGTGCAGATTGATGGCCTCTGCCAGGAGGCACAAGCTGAGGTTCTTCTGGGATTTCTCTTGGAAGCTGATGATCAAGAAAAAAACAAAAACCAAAAGAAACGTTTCCTTTGCCTCATGCCCTCCTCACAAGCATCTCAGATGTAAAAGCATCTCTCTTTAGAATCAGAGTTAGAATTCGGGGACATAGGGGAAAAGAGCTGTGCTCGGGGGCGGGGAGGGGACGCAGACATGGACAGGCCAAACCAGGCAGGCTGACAACTCTGGGCAGCTGTGTGGAGACAGCTTGTTTCCCCGTCTAGCCCCACCCAAGGGAGAAACCCAAAGGGTGAAGGGTACAGGCTGGTCAACCCTTCTGAGGGAGACCTGACTTTGGGTCCCGCCCAGCTTTGCCCCCAGGTAGTGTTGGGAGAGATCCAGAAGAGCTGGTATCTCCATGGCAACCTAAAAAGGAAAAAGAAGCACAGACATGCCTGGGCCGTCTACAAAACAGCAGAACCACCTGGAGCCACAGTGAAAACCTTGGTGCGGTAAATTCCTGAGTCTGGGAGGGAAAGTCAGTCTTCGTTGGCTCCCCAGGCCAACAGGGCACCCAAGGGAAGGAGCACCTTCAATTCCCCCACACTGCTGCCAGATCTGCAAGTTTTACAAGAGTGTGCATGCCTCCCTCCAAGGTCCTGGAGGGAGGGGAATCAGATACAGCCTGCCTTCCTGAGCCTCCCTTCCTTCCAGCAGCTTCCTGCTAGAGAAGAGAGTCTGAAAGGAGAGACTTTGAATACATTTTATTCAGAAGATAATAAAATAGCGTGCACTTTATTTAAAACCAACCAAGCGCTGATACAAATATATATATATCACTGCAACCATGATTCCACATCAAACCTTATCAGTCAGAATGGGCATTTATTTTTCACATCTTGTGTTGGACCTGGCACAGGACACCTTCCTCCAGGAAGGCTTTACAGGCCAAGGCCAAGACTGAACAAGTGCCCTGGTGGAGAGGGTTAGTGGCAGGCTCCCCCTGGGCCCCATAGAATAGATCAGGGCCAGGCCATGCTCTTCCCAGCTGCTGGGATGGCAGAGTGGACAGGAGGAGAAATAGACATTGGGTCCTCCTGCCTTTTTCAAGGTCCCTGAAATCCCCAAAGGACATTTGACAGTCTCCCACAGGGCCCCAGCTGCAGGAGAGCTAGCCTTTGCTTTGGCTGCAGGAGAGTTGGGATTCTGCAAGGGACTACTCTTTCTGAACACAAAGTAGCCATAGCACACTTTCCTACATTCAGTGTGGCAAAGGGCAACTGGAGGGTGCTATTGACTCCCATTAAGGCACTTGTAACAGAACCCAGATGTGCAGGCCTCCAAGGGCCCTGTTTCTCACTTATCCTCGAGTCTAGCCTCTCCTGTCCCTTCCCACTGCTGTGCAATAAGGAAGGCAGCAAGGGTCTTGAGGGACTTGGGATGGTGGTGTGATGGGAGTCTGAGTAGGAAGAAGAGAGCTGGAGTGTGGTGAAATGGTAGCTTCAGCCTGGAAAGGCCTTTTGTAAGGAAGCCAGGCAGCAGCAGGTTAATCATCATGGAGATCAGTGGCAGTGGTACTGGCTGAGAGCAGAAGCTGGAGCCGAGGCCCCTCCAACCTGCCCTGGGGGATGCAGGCTGGGAGCAGAAAAGGGGCAGGGAGCCATCCCTTGACTGAGCACCTGCAGAAGGCAGGTTCTCTTCTCTCAGCTAGGGACTAGTGCAGGGGTAAAGGGGTGAAGGGTTTGGACACAGGCAAGGCAAGGGCAAGGGGCTGCAAGGAGGGCCATGAGACCCAGAAGCAGCTCAGCTCTTTGGTATGATGAGGGTGTCACTGTGGGATATCCCTGTCATTCTTCCTCCATACTCCGGGGTGCCTTGGTCGCTCGCCTCTGCCTCCCTCGAAGCTCTTCTATTTGGCGCTCCAGCCCTCTCACCTTAGCTTCCAGGTGTGTCCCCGAGCCCCTGGAGCCAGTGAGCCGGCTCAGCAAGGCATAGAGAGTCAGCAAGGCCAGGAGCATCAAGGCCCGGGTGGAGGGGTCAGGCACAGACCTCACCAGGCCCACAAAACCAGCCACAAAGAGGACAAGCTTCAGACCCCCCAGGATCCGTCCTAGCAAGGCCAAGACCAAGCCTAGGAGCAAGGACAGCAGCCAGTAGATGACCAGTGCTGCTGCTCCCCACAGTAGAAGGGTCTGGACTTGGCTGGGGCTGAGCTTCAAGGACTGGGTGAGATTTTCACCTGAAAAGGAAAAGGACAGAGTCAGCAATCTAGAGGTGTGATGAGGGCAAAGAGGGGCAAGAAATGATGAAACAGAAGGAACAACAGCCTTGCAAAAGCACAGCCCACTGTTACACACTTGGGAAACCGATTTGAATCCCAGGCTCCTGGCCGTGGGACTCTTGGAAGACTACTTCTCTTGTGGAGATGGAGTTTTATTTATTATATGAGGACAGTTATCTGCCTTCCAGGGCTTTGGTTAACCAGAGAGGAAATACTACACCTTTGTACAATGTTCAATACAAGTAAACTGCTGGGACAGAGGAAGAATCTCTAGCCTCCCCTTCCACTGTACTTCTCTGGTGATAGCTGCAAACAGCTGGGGGAATGTCTAGCCCCACACAGATAAACTCCCACCAACAGCAAGGTCAGACACAGCCTGGCTATCTAATTCTCTGCCACTCACCATCTAGCCCCAGGGCACTCAACAACTGGGCAGCAATCCCAGACAGGGCAAAGCAGGCCACAGAGATGGCTGATGAGATGGCCCACATCACCTGTAACAGGGTCTGTGAAAGAGACAAATCCATTATGAATGAGGCTCTTCTCCTCCTGCCTGGTCCTCACCGCCTCCAGACTACCTGCAGGGAGATCTCTGACTTGGGTTTGGGTCAAAAGTCCCCAGACTCTGAGTCTGATGAGGGGGCCCTTCTGTCATGTCTCCTTCCTGACCCAGGATCCAGAACACCTGAGACAGACTTCAGTTGCTCAGCTGAGATGTTCTGGAGGTGGCAGGAGGTGCACTTGTGTGTGAAAGGGGGAATCACCATATCCCATGTTAGGCACTCTAAGGAACTGGAGGCCTCCAAGCCTCCTAGGGAATCAGGAAGGAGTGTGAAAGAATGTCCATGCAGAGCTGGGACATGTGAGAAAAGGAGTCAATCAACTGCACTGCATTGTGGATTTGTTTGTGTGTCTGCATGTGTGCCCTCGAAGACCCACAGGGAGACTGCAGGCTGACATCAGGATGCCTTCCTCAATTCTCCACTGGATTTTTAAAGATTTTATTTTTATTTACATATTCATGTGTGTTTGTTTATGAATATGTGTGTGTATGGGAGGGGGTAGGGATGTGATCAAAGAAGCCAGAAGAGAGTGTTGGATTCCCTGAAGCTGGAGTTACAGTCAGTTGTGAACCACCTGAGGGTCGTTGAAACCAAACTCTAATCCTCTGCAAGAGCAACAAGTGTTCTTAAATCCTGAGCAGCCTCTCTATTTTCTGAGACAGGATTCTTACTAAACCTGGAGCTCTAGTTTCTGCTAGCCTGGCTGGCCAACCAGCAAGCTCCTGGTGTCTGCCTGTTTCTGCCCACCCCACTTTCCCATTGCGGAAGGTTACAGACATTCACAGCATGCCCAGTCTTCACATGTTCTAGAGACTGAAACTCTTATCTGCATACTTGCATAGTAAGCACTTGACCCACTGGCATTTCCCCGGCCCTATATTGTGGATTTTATAAACCACTGTCTGGGCACTTTGGTATGAACTATCATATCAGAAGGGACACCACACTAGAAAAGGCACTGGGTGGAAGAACCAAGCCTTCCATAGACTCTTCATGAGCCCCATTTCGCTTTTACAGATGAGGACTTAAACTCAGCTCTCTGTACACTGCCAATTTAAGATGCTAGGTCTCGGGGCTAGAGAGATGGCTCAGAGGTGAAAAGCACTGGCTGCTCTTCCAGAGGTCCTGAGTTCAATTCCCAGCAACCACATGGTGGCTCACAACCATCCAGATCTGGTGCTGTCTTCTGTTGTGCAGAACTCTGTATACATAATAATAAGTAAATCTTAAAAAAAAAAAAGCACTGCCTGCTTAAAAAAAAAAAAAAGATGCTAGGTCTGACTCAGATCAGATCAAAGACTCCTTGGGGACCCACTAACCTGCGTTTGTAAGAGTAGGTTATTTTGCAGCCTTTCTGGCAAAATGGACAAAAACTGGAAAAAGATAGGGTGGTGCTAAAAGGCCAGAAGGTAAAAACCAGGCAATCAGCCAGCAAGCAAGCAGCAGGACTGCCAGGCTGTATTTGTGGAAGGTGGAGCTCTCCACAGTGTGGACTAGGACAAACAGGTTGTGGTGGCAAAGGTAAGGTGGCGTTAACAATGTCTCTTCATTTGTTTATGCACACAGCCACTACAGTGGTTTTGTTTTTGTTTTTAGTTATTGCCTTTTAAGCTTCAGCTATCCTATAAAGCAACTGTAACTCTTCTGCTATCAGCAGCGTTTAAGATGCAAGAGCCCGAAGTCTGAGGGAATTCTGTGTCCGCATGCACCAACTCTTTCAAAGCTACTAAGAAAACTTATTTAAATCTCTGCCCCCGATAAAGAACTCAAGATTCAAAGATTGAGGTAGAATTCTGCTTCCCAGAGAGGCTAAATAGCAAGCAGCTCACCTAGTTCACCTCCTTGAGTCCCTGGAGAAGTCCTTGTGCATTTTCTCGCCCCCTCTTTATAAACCCTTGTCCACCTGGCTCCTCCCTACAACTTCCTGTCTAGTTGCTGACCCATCCTCCTGACAGCAGGTGAATTTTATTTAATCAAAAACATCTTTGCATCATTATACAAATGTTCCAGAGCATAAACACACCTTAAAATAATATTCTACAACACTACAGCACCTTCTTTACCTCTGAAATCACATGCATGGTCTCTGGCCCCAGCCAGGTATCCAGCGTCTCCTTCAGAGATCGGCCAATCTGGGTCAAAAGATCAGCTGAGGCCTCCCTCTTCTGTTGGCCAGGTGGGTCTCGATAGGACTGGGATGATGACGATGAGTGGAAGAGGAGGACGAACACGAGGACCACTAGGACAGCTTTGAACAGATGCCTGCTCCATGATGGACTGCCATGTGAGCCTGCCATGTTTGTGTCTGTCAAGAGAGGGCCACAAGGTAAACAAGTGGTGATCCAGACCTGATGGATACTTTTAATCTCCCAGCTGATCTGCCATTCCCTACCCCATCCCTGGTCCATAGCAAGCATCCCAGTCAAACCTAAAAGGAGCTGTGTGCTGAAAGAAAAAAAAAAAAAGATGAAGCAGGACTTTCGATCTAAGCTGGCACAATTATCTGATTCACAGCTTCCTCAAGATAGGCAAGATCTCAATGCAGTCTATTCCTGCAGGCCTAAAATCTGAAGGCCTGTCTCCACGTGGGTCTTAGGCACCATGGACGTGAGCGAATTACAAGTCTCTAAATGCTTCCTCCCAAGAAGCTTATAATGTACTGAAGACAAAGCCGATAGAAAAAAAGTAACTTAAAAATAGCTCGTAAGTAGGATTACCACTGTACATTACCAATGTAAAATAAAACACTTGGTTAACAGAGCATACAAGAATGACTGCATTTGCAACAGTATCTCAGCAGGGTTGTTATGCAAGGTATTTTTTGTCCCTCGCCCCTGTGGGCATAGACATTAAGAAACAGTCTGCAGATGAGCACTTGTGCAAGGTCACTGGGTTTAGAAGGATTTCAAGCCAAGCCTCTTCTTCCAAATCCTACCCTTGCTGGGGGTCAGAGTGTTCAGTGGATCTCAAACAGGACTGTTCAGTGACATCACCTGAAAGTGGCACAAAGTGCCAATGTCTGTGTCCAAGAACACTGGTTCTGATGGCATTGTCTCTCTGTGACCTGGTCTTGGACATGAGTTCCTCAATGTTTGGACTATTCAAAGTTGAGAACCATTCTAAGAATATAGAGAAAGGCTAAACTCTGTTTCTCCTATACTATCACTTAACAGTCCACGTAAGATTTGTGTTTATTTGTGTGAGGTTTTTTTGTTGTTTTGTTTTTTCTGTTCTCATCCCCAGCAAACAAGCAATCCACTGTGCACTGGACATCTTCTAATTCAACTTGGTTTTGACACTACCTACCTGGAGGCAGAGTCATATCCCTTTGCCTGTTTGGGAGTGAGAAGTTGAGGTCATTCTGTGTCAATGGCTATGATAGTGTGTACACACACACACA